CAGGATAATTCTAGAAAGTAGAGAGCGTGAGAATCACATGATCTCGATGACGCAACAGTATATTACTGTTACGTCTCTGGTCGTTAGTTAATTTTCCGTCAAAATTATTTCCAAAGAAACTAGCGATACAAGTCCTTTCTTAAATAAAAATGGTTTATTCTTTCTGAATACAACTTTGCAATACACTTAATTTCCACAGTCATGCTATAACAAATGCTATAATTCACAATGAACGTCTCATGTGCTCGACTCAACTGTCACTTACCCATTGTTGCCATCACGTCTTGACCGTCTTATATGTACAAGAATACCGAAATCTAGTAAATGCTCGAGCATTCATGAACCTTCGAGAATATGACGTGTTACTAGTGTCACGTGACATCCGCTGTCGTAACATTACTTACCAAAAACACAGTTAATAAATATGTAGCCAGGACTTGATACTAATGTTAATGAACAATAGAACATAAATATCAATGTTGATAATCATTTCAATAAAGAAAGAAAGGAATCAGGAAAAAGAACCAAAGAATGAAAAAATCTAATTCCAAAAACAACAATATTTTGTACTTAAACAACTACAAGATTAACAACAATGTCCAGTAATAATCAACAATAATACGTTTTAACTATAAATGCTAGCTGGGACGACCATATGAGAACATATTTGATAAAATTATACCATATATATTGTTCTTCCTTTTCAGCAGAAGTTTCTTTTGCTTTATATTTACATTTCCCTTTTTACCTAACTTATAGAAGTTACCCTTGTTTTCAAAGCTAGTATTGAGGTTTATTTACCATTATGTACATCATTTTATTACAGTCAAAAAATTACATTTTTATTTCACAGATTTCCCTCCTATCAACAGTGGTTAATCTTGTTTACAACTTTTACAGTGAAGTTTACTATTACACTTTTTCCTTATCAACAGGGATTCCTCTTGCTTTTACTTCCTACACCAGATATATCCTTACATTATCCCTGGGGGTCCAGGGCCTAAGCCTCTAGAGCTCATGGGTTTTTAATATTAGAGGGGTTAAAAACTGTTTACATTTCTGTGAATCCAACTGATGATGAGAAAATACTTTTTCATGATGCAAGTAATAACTTATTTTTTGTATTACTCTCAACAGTCCATACTATATACAATACTAACAAAAACAATTATAAATTCATATCTTTAAATTCCCATATAACATTTCCCTGCAAATAAAGACAGAAGTCAAAATATAAAAAAACCAGTAGCAATGTTTGATGGCATACTTCACTGTGTATTCTGACCACTCTGCCACTTACACTTACTTTTCTCCAGTTATATGCAATCCTCCTCATTATGAATAGTATGTAAGCCTGTGCAATCTAACAATTCTACACCTATCTTATCAATATTCATTCATTTTCATATCTTTTCACATTCATGCTCCAGTGTCATCAATCTGTCAGCAAATCAAGGTGCTAATATCAAAATTAAGGAATTGGGTTCACAACAAATGAAAAGAACCAAAATTATGAAAAAACATGGAAAGCAAGAGGATTGCACATAGATTTGGGAAATTGGGAGATAGGTCTTATGCAATTTCAACCCTCAGATCCACCTATGAGCATGGGTTACACTATTCCCTCATTAATAGAAGTTACTCTTTTTTCCTGCTATAAAAAAACTTTCTCTAATGCATTTTCTCAATCATCATGGTTTACTCTTTTCTTCTTCTCTTACAGTGAGTTTTAAACTTACAGGTTTCTTTAACACAAAAGATTACTCTTATTTTTAAATTCCAAAATAAGTAAATCCACACACCTCTAATGTCCTTATCAGAAGGGGTTGATCTTGTTTTGAATTCCTACATAAGGATTGTCATTAGGAATTATTCTCAATTTAAAATCCTACAGTGAGTTTTGAACTTACACCTTTTCCCTATTACTTAGGGTTGTACTTATTTCAAAATATCTGAGATTTACTCTTCTATCTTTTCAAGTTCCACACTAAAATTATTATTACAGTCACTCTTGCTTGTAACTTCTACAGTGACATTTGCTCTTCCTTTACACTCTTCTCCTAGCTATTAGTGGGAATTTCACTTATTTGGAAGACTTACATTATCTAACCTTGCATTTTTGCTTAATTGACATGTCATTGACACACGAAATGCTTAAAAATTAGATGCATTTACGACTTTTATAAAAACTGCATTGCTTCCTGTACACACAATTCTAGAATACAAGAAATATGTGCAATGGAACATAGTTTGGTTAGCTTAATAATGTATTAATTTTAGATTCCATCACAAACATCTACTATATACAAGACAAAATGAAGACTAAATACATGTAAGTATGAAACATCAACTAAAACAAAACACCACCAAAACCATGCAGGCAGGTTACCAGGGTCAAACAAAATCAATTTATTAAGATATAATAGAAATCCACAATATAATTTTCAAACAACTACAAATATTATCACTTATGTAAAACAGTTAGTAAACCAGTGCTTGGCCAGGATTAAATACAAATGTTTATATATTGTTACATCTCTGTTCGTTTGTTAATTTTCCATAAAAATTCTTTCCGAAGAAACTTTAGCAATACAAGTCCTTTCTTAAATAAAACTAGTTTATTCTTTCTCAATACAACTTTGCAATACACTTAATTTCCACAGTCACGCTGTAACTTAAACAAATGCTATAATTCACAATGAACGAACAATTCACGTCTCTATTTCTGTCAGCAATTCAATTCCATTGTTGCCGTCACTTCTTGGCGGTCTTATATATACAAGAATACCGCACATCTAGTAAACACTCGAGGCTT